CGGGGGTATAGTCCTTGTGGCTTTAGCGCTTTTTTTTGTTAAAATAATAATAATAGTCGGGTTTTTAACGTTATACGATGCCATCATTGGTCGAGGGTCCACTGTATATCGCATGTACGCGTGGAATCATCTTCCCTAGCTTGTAAACAATGGCACATTACCTTGTATATGGCTCAGGCCACACGGACACGCACGTTTGGGACGAATGTCTTTAACTGAGTTTTTCATCATTGGCCGAGCCAATATTTTTATACAAAAACACATCGGTATCCGATTTTATCGCTATCCAATGGCATCGTTACCTGAGGGTTCACTCTATTACGAAATGTATCATATGAACGCGGGGGATCTTCCTCACTAGCTGATAAACAGTGGCACACTGGCTGGGAATGGAGTGTTGGGCCGCTCAGGGCCATGCATATGTGTCTGGGACGAATGACTATTTGCAAGTCAGACGACGATTCGCGAGTCAATGTTTTGATGAAAGAAACATTAAGATTTTTGTAAATTATGACTTCCGATGCTTACAAAAAACGAGGGTCCACTGTACCTTTTTTTTTCCTTGTTTTTATTTTAATTTATATAATTTTTATGTTCTGATAATTACAATTTATAATAGTTCTTGTGATTTCAAAGCCAATCTTTGTTATGACACTAATATTATGCACTGAAATAGTACTCAGATAGCCACAATCACAGAGACAAGTGAACATTTTCACCTGCCTTGGTCATTTACTATTGTCCAGTAATATATGCAAAGTATTTATAGGTCTCAGCAATGTTTTAGACATGCTGGAGTATATATGAAACTCCTTGAGGCATGATGGTAAGATGAGTATCAATAAACTGCTGACACTGCAGCAGTGGAGTGACACTGATGATCGTGCATTACTGCAGGGAACCCTGACTTTATTTGTTTTCACTGTTACACACAAACATGTCTGTCTTGCTCTGCTTATCTGTCTTTCTGTCTGCCTGTGTGTGTGTGTGCGTCTTTCTCCCTCTGCTTGTCTCTGTGTGTCAGGGAGTGGCTCATAAACCTGTTGGTTTATGAGCCACTCCCTGAATCCTGAGCAAGTGAAAATGCATATTACTTTTATTTATTTATTTATTTATTTAAAAATTTGAGCACACATACAGAGGTACAACAAATACAGGTAAGAGCAGTATGCCAAAGCCACTTATACTATGCATAGCATTACGGGCTGGCTTAAAATTAACTTAAGATTAACTAAGCAATGATGAAATCAGTGATAAAACATTAATGTAAACAGGTTACTATAAAGCACAAGTGAGTATTACAAAGACAGGTCATATGGTTGTATGCATTGTTGTACATTCAGTAGAATGGAGTATTCTGTTAGGTAGTGTATTTAAAAAATAATAAAGTTAGATTGGGTTTTAGGTTTAACATTTATGTGATATAATTGTGAGAAACATTTAAGATATACAATTTATAAGGTTCAGTTATTCAGTATTTATTTGGTTTTGGGTGAGTAAGTGATCTTTGAGAAGAGACTTGAATTTATAAACAGGTAGTGTTTCTTTTATATTTACAGGTAATGAATTCCAGATTTTAGGGCCTTTTATGTGCATTGAGTTTTTACATAGTGTGAGATGGACACGAGGAACATCAAAGAGTGATCTGTGCCTTGTGTTATGGTCATGTGTTCTGTTGAGGTTGGCAAGGAGATGTTTGAGGGGAGGGTTAATATCAGAGTTAAGTGTTCTATGTATGTAATAGGTGCAGTAGTAAGTATGGATGTTTTGTATGGTGAGGAGGTTTAGTGTATTGAATATTGGTGGAGTGTGCTGCCTATAGTGAGAATTTGTTATCATTCTAACTGCAGCCTTTTGTTGGGTAATTAGTGGTCTGAGATGGTTACTTGTTGTTGAGCCCCATGCACAAATTCCATAGGTGAGATAGGGGTAAATAAGAGAGTGATATAGGGCCAGGAGGGCTGACTGTGGAGCATAGTACCGTATCTTCGATAGTATGCCTACAGTCTTGGAAATTTTCTTAGAAATTTGTTGTATATGTGTATGAAATTTGAGTCTATTATCAAGGTGGATTCCTAAGAATTTTCCCTCTGTTAGCTTTGTGATAGGTGATCCGTTTATCATTATGTTAAGAGGGACATCTGTAGCTCTGTTACCAAACTGAATGAAGTAGGTTTTGTCATTGTTTAGTGTAAGTTTGTTAGTTCTCATCCAGGTAGATATTTTCTGTAATTCGGTATTTACAGTATTGGCTAGTTTATTATGCATTACATCTACAAGCACTGTATAGCACTTTGCCTGGAATTTTTGGATTATCCTAGGTAATTTACACTATGTGTAATAACTGTACATACTTGTATGTACCTGTGAGAGACAGAGATATAGATGGACAGACAGAGATAGAGACAGATAAAGCCAGACAGCCAAAGTCAGTCATCCAGCTAGCCAGCCACCCAGCCAACCAGCCTGCTGAATATGTATGACATTCTGCCAGGATGACACTACCAGTGGTATCAGAAATGAAAGGATGTTGCACATGGGTTATTAACAAGGTTTTTGATATTTCCTCGACCACTGGTGGCCACATCCATCTCAAAGCCACTAAACTCTGGGTCATCATCACTTTCCTCTTAAAAGGGGAGTGTTAATACGACATGACATCAGTGAATCCTTAGTGTTTGTCATGCTATTTGCTCTAGCTGGCACTCAATTGAACTGGTGCTCCCACAAGGTACTAAGTGGTCCCAAATTTTTTTAATACTGCACACACCAAGTGTTAAGACCCATTCTATACTGACCACGCATCTCAGGCCAATCGTGCCAATTTTGAAGGAATGAAAAATAAAACGTTGATCTACATTCAGAGCACTATGCACGTGAATGTAGATCTACGTTTGTACAGTTTAAGGGTTAAATCTCTGAAACCAACCTTTGCTGGCCTTAAATTCACTAACAGCAGCACTCATTCCAGGCATTTTCTTTAAGAGATCCGCATGTAACTGCCTTGCCTTTTCACAAATGATCGACACCACAACACTATCTCCCGCTAATTGTTTATTGTTGATCCTCACCAACAATAGCTTCTCCACATCTTCGATTATTGGTGCTCTTTGTTTCGTTAGCATATTCTACTTTCTTTGCCAGGATGGAAGCGATTGTTGATTTGGATTTCCCAAACGTCCTGGCAAGCTCCAGGACATGTACACCACTCTCGTACTTTGCTACAATTTCTTTCTTGAATTCTATCGTGTTTCTCACTTTCTTTACCAAAGGGCTGTCACTAGGAGCTTTCTTTGGGCCCATGGTGGCTTATTTCACAGTTGCACTCAATAAACAACCACAAAAAACAATGGATTATAACAAAATGTTTGGATGAATGTGCAGAGCTTTGCTCACTCATCCAGAAATACAGCCAGACTGACTCATGAACACGGCATGGCAGGCAGGTGGACAATTCCAATATGGCCAATTTCCAAGTTGCCGGCCGAAATCCAGGATAGAATTTCGGCCAAAAAAGCGGCCAAAATCTGAATTGGCCGATATCCAGAATGGCCAATGTCCGAGGGTCCACTATAATTAAAACTGAATATCGTTCAGTTATGCTGTGTGTGGCCATTGATCTGGCACATTATGAAACATAATTATTGTCTTTTGAATTGCAGGTGCATATAGTTTTACAGATTTTTTATTAAATACATTAAACATACAGTATGCCTCTAATGTACTCTATATGCATAAGTGAGTTTCACTAAAAATCAAGCATTTTTATGTATGTATACATGTATATACATTTATATTTTGTGTGTATGTTTATTATTGTTTAGAATGTGCTCTTAGAGTCTATATATTGTACTTGCAGTACTGGGAAAAAACTGTAAAGCAGTCAACACAATGATCTTAAATCCTCATGTGCATCTGCTTGGAGATGATGCTGCCTGCATCGCATATGTCCGACTCACCCAGTATATGGATAAGTAAGGATTTTTAAAGTTCTTTCTGAAAGAAATATGCTGCTTTTAAGATTATATAAAAGAAAAATATAATTTGAATTCCTTTTCTGTTTTATGGCCAAAATACATTAATAAACATGCAGTTCTTAATTTTACATTGTTATTTATCATTTAAATGTACTGAATTTTTCAGACAGGGTCTTGCCCACACACAACAGAGTGAGGAGACGAGAGTTTGGCAACGCCGTGATCATAAGTGGCAATGTATGCACTTTCATCGCTCTGGGTCACCTTCCGCCCCTTTTGCGTTGGGCACTAAGTAAATCCTGAGGATAATAAAGGGTACTGGATACCCTAGAGAGGAATGGAGTAAATGTATGGTTGTTAGATCAGCCTCTGTGGAATGTGTGGGTTGGAAACATGAAAAATTTCCCTCACCACTGTTCAGGCCTCAACATAGCCAATCATTTTTAAAGGACCAAAGTGCTTAGAGACCTGAAGTGGCTTTGTATTGGTGGGAAGAACTGTGTCAAGATGAACCAAAAAGTGTGTTCTAACCCCATATGTTCTGCAGATTGTCTACCTTATTCCTAGAATTCTAGGTGCAGGTTAGCATTTGATATGCCAGATTCATGTTGGATTTCTTGATGGTTGCCTATATTTTGAGGATTGAATGTTCCCATTGCTACCAAGTATATTAATAGATGTGTGGCAAAATTTTAGATTTATAACAAACTCTCTTTGTTGGACAATTCTTCAGTGATATGTGCACAATTTATGGCTCCTGAAGTTCTCAGATGCTAGATAGAAATTAATATGTTATTGAAAATACTGTAGGAATGCATTTCTTCTAAGCATCTTACATTCGCCTAATATACAGAATCGTTTTACATAAGCCACATCCATTTCTAATAGTTAGTTCTATTAACTATAAAGAGAATAAAGAATTAACTGTGGATAATATTCTTACTGAAAAGTATTGCCATTACTAAGCATCAGACTGAGTGGATCAGTCTTGAAGCTTGATCATCTTCTCATCCTGTGTTGTTAACAACTGCTTCAGTCATCTAGTGCTGCAGTATATGTTGGCTAAATCATCAAAATCCGTATGTTTGAAATTAATGGACATAATTTAAAATACATTCATATATGTACAGTATATGATTATATTTGTGTGTGTGTGTGTGTATGTGAGTATTTTGAGTGTATGTACATACAGTGTGTATATGTATGTATGTATGTATATATATATATATATATATATATATATATAATATTATATATATATATATATATATATATATATATACATGTATATATATATATATATATATATATATATATATATATATATATATATATATATATATATATATATATATTCTACACATACACATCCAGTATGTATTTGATGTTTGTATGTATATAAATGAGGGTGCATGTGTGTGTATATGTATATCCTGCCAAATGCATTTTTTAATATGTGAGCTGCATAAAAAAAATTGCATAAGAGTTTGTAGATAATGGTTCAGTGTTATACAGTATGCTATATTAAATTAAGTATGGAACTGTTGTCTTTAAAATTTTCTTATGGGGATTTTGGTTGTTTATCCAACATTATTTATGACAGGAGAACTCTTTTTTAAGTATCTTCCTTCAGATTTAGGCACCATGGTGTAAGTTATGAATTTTTCTTTACTTTTAAGTACATATCTAAAAATATTGCCTAATGCATTTCATATATATGCTTTTCATTGTGGGGTATATTACAAGTTTAAAGCATATAATATCTTAAAATTGATTGCATTAAAGTAAAAGTGGATTGTCAGAGGTATACCCAACCATATCTTTTCATGTTTATACCTAGAAGCTTATTGATCCATACCTGTGGCTGAGAGGTGAAACTCCATGTGTATGGCCAGGTGCTTACTGGTGTCTGACAATGTGGCCGGCCCCACGCACCCAAAATGACCGGTGTATATCTAGTCATTTGCTTTGCTGTTAACGTTTTTTACAATAATTTTTTTGCAGACAGTCTTTGATAAGAATAGTTCCCAAGTAATTTTTGTGGTTTGTTTGAATTTGTATATTTGTAACAATAAGCCTTTTCAAGAGCTTGAAAGGATGTTTGATATCTTTGTAGAGTTCCATATGATAGTTAAATTTTGTGTGCATCACCTCCACTCTCTGGTGCCATGAATAAGTTGCAGCTTAACAGGAGCATAACATATTGATATTTTAAAAGAAAATTTATTCACCCCTATTTATGGTACTGTTTTATTGCTAAGTGTCTTATTATACAAACATTAAGATCCTTTTGCAGTTGCCAGGCAGGACACAGTATATCACATTCAGAAAATACAATTTTCATTTCAGAATTTTCCTTCTTTTAGATTTTCCTGAAATGTTCTAGAGCACTTCCCTTCACATTTGTGATTTTTGATGAAGGAATGAAAACCTCTTAAAAAGTTTAAAGTTTAGATTTCCTATTTTCACTGATTTACTATGCACACAAACACTCTGTGTGTGTGTGTGTGTGTGTGTGTGTGTGTGTGCATGTGTGTGTGTGTGTGTGTACACATGCACTCACCTATGTATGGTTATAGGGGTTGAGTCACAACTTCAGGCCCTGATGTGTGTATATATATATATATATATATATATATATATATATATATATATATATATATATATATATATATATATATATATAATACACACACACACACACACTCTCACTACAATTTTAGACCGGCAATATTAACAGTGTAAGACAAGCCACAGGGGATGGAAATCTTCAGTTCAAGATCTTTAACATGTCTCTGTACATCACTAGGAGCTGTTCAGTGTTATAAGATCAGTAACAGGTGGATTGAGGGAAGTTTTCTCAGAAGGTAGCTTGTTGATGCCAACCTGTTTCACCTCAGGAGGAACAGGCCAGTGTTGGCATGCTACCTTTCCTCTGAGAAAACATCCTTTCAATCCACCAGTTGCTGCTCTTGCAATAGTGCGTAACTCCTGATGATACACAGAGACATGTGAAAGATCTTGAACTGAAGATTTTCAGCCCCCTGTGGCTTGTCTTGCATATATACATACATTATATCTATATCTTCTTTCAACGCACCGGCCGTATCCCACCGAGGCAGGGTGGCCCAAAAGGAAAAACGAAAGTTTTTCCTTTTACATTTAGTAATATATACAGGAGAAGGGGTTACCAGCCCCTTGCTCCTGGCATTTTAGTCACCTCTTATGACACGCATGGCTTACGGAGAAAGAATTCTGTTCCTCTTCTCCATGGAAATAAGCGGAAATAAAGAAGAACAAGACCTAGTAAGAAAAATAGAAGAAAATGCAGAAGGGTGTGTATATATATGCTTGTACATGCACATGTAGTATGACCTAAATGTAAGTAGAAGTAGCAAGATGTACCTGAAATCTTGGATGTTTGAGACAGAAAAAAGGCACTAGCAGTCCTACCATCATGTAAAGAAATTACAGGCTTTCGTTTTACACTCACTTGGCAGGGCGGTAGCACCTCCCTGGGTGGTTGCTGTCTACCATCCTACTACCTAGGATATATATATATATATATATATATATGCAAAACAACCACTCTGAAAGAATAGAGAAATTCCAAGCGCTTTCGTGACTACTCACATTATCACGAAAGCGCTTGGAATTTCTCTATTCTTTCAGAGTGGTTGTTTTGCATATTCTGAAATCACCTGTTTACTGTGATCTTATTGCATATATATATATATATATATATATATATATATATTACAACACACACACACACACACACACACACACACACACACACACACACACAACACACACACACACACACACACACACACACACATACATATACATAAATACACAGATATTCAAACACCTCCAGGGAGAAACCTTCAAAATTTTCCTGTGATATGTTCTTCTCCAAGGCTGTGGGTCCCCAGTCACTGATCAATTTGATATAAGCCTTGTGAAATAATTAGAGAAATATTGAAATATTGAGAAAGACATTTGAAAAATTCAACTTTTATCTGAGGCCCTCTTCAGTAGAGAGGAAGAATGTGGCTGTCTGTATTGTGGCAGGGTGATGTCACCTGTCAGAAATCGCAACAGGTGGCCATCTCTTGGTGACCTTAAGATATTAGCAGCCTCTGCAGAACTTAATTACTTGCTACTTCTGGTATCTGTTGTCAAGGTAAAATGTTAAAGCTTAGTATATTGTAAGTATATTATAAGTATCAATTATCATCCTCTTTTTTTTTTTTTTAATTAATATTTTAAAGGTGCAGTATATTTTTGTAGAATTCTCCAAGTAAATAAGATAATGTCTTCATTCATAATTTAATTAACTTGAAGCTTGTCTATTTATATTTGAACATTTTTGGGTTTCACAGACCTGGTTTTCAGGACACTATCAGTCTTCCCAGAGTAAATTTCTTCACATTCCTTGTAATATATTATTTAAATGGTGCTATTTTTTCGTTAGTGGATAATCACTCATTCTCTTCTTCTTTAGGTGATTGACAATCACAATTCTTTTCTCATGTGACTTTGTCATAGCTGTATGCTCCACATTTTCTTTATAAAGAATTTGCTAAGCTTGTTTTAGGATAAAGTTCCTGTGGCCTAGAGAAGGAGTTAACCTGATAAAAATTCCCTGTAGCAGTGTTTCAGGCTATATTGGAATATTTTCCTTATTTTGCTTATTTGGTTAGACTTCTTATCTATCTATTTAGCTACTGGTACCATGAATGCATAGTGTCCTAAAAAAGATGCCAGACAACACTTTAACAGAATGATTTCTAAAATAATGAAGTTAACTACCTCTATACAACGAGAGATTATACAAAACCTAGTATCTCAAGGTTACTCAAAAACAGTCATCTGTATTTATGAAGGATGAGCATCATGCTGTCACATTATAGGTGGCCACCTTCTTCCTCACTTATTGTGATGGCTGTCACATTATAGGTGGCCACCTTCTTCCTCACTTATTGTGATGGCTGTCACATTATAGGTGGCCACCTTCTTCCTCACTTATTGTGATGGGTGTCACATTATAGGTGGCCACCTTCTTCCTCACTTATTGTGATGGGTGTCACATTATAGGTGGCCACCTTCTTCCTCATTTATTGTGATGGCTGTCACATTATAGGTGGCCACCTTCTTCCTCACTTATTGTGATGGCTGTCACACTATAGGTGGCCACCTTCTTCCTCACTTATTGTGATGGCTGTCACATTATAGGTGGCCACCTTCTTCCTCACTTATTGTGATGGCTGTCACATTATAGGTGGCCATCCTCTTCCTCACTTATTGTGATGGGTATCACATTATAGGTGGCCACCTTCTTCCTCACTTATTGTGATGGAGAGGCTTCAGGTGAAGGATGAAATATTCAGTTTGTCTTAGTGAATGTGTTTTTCCATATCCATTAGAGCATTAGAAATCTAATAATTAGTTGTTTGGAAAACTTTAAGCCAAAAATTGGAATCGGTTAGTTTTGTTTCCAAAGGGTATTAAAAAATCTCCTGGTATTATAAAGTCACAAAAATGAAATACATTTTTTAATCATATATTAATAATTGTTATTAGTAGCATGCAGTTCATTAAAACATAAGCCAAATGAAACAGTGTGTGTTGACAGGAATGTCATGTTGAAAGTCTTAGCAGCATGCATAATTTTTTTTGTGTGTTCCTGCAAAAATGTGAATTATAAATATACTCCCTGAGTTTTCCAATAAAATTCAACAATGCAGTGCTAATTATATATTTGCTTGATAAAAAAAAAAAAGAATAAAAAACATTAAGCGCCAAGATATTTGGATTCATCATGTGCTGAGCTCTCTCCTCCTCCTCCTTCATGTGCTTTAACACCTCTCTAACACTTGAGAAATAAAGAAACTTTATATAAGCAAATGTTAAACTATTGAATTACTACATTTTTAAGTACAATAAGTTTGAAATTAGAGTGTATGATAAAACGAAAAATTAAGCATATTGACAGAAATGACGTGACAAGTTGGTGGCATGTATGTCATGCATCTAGGTTTTATCCATACAAAGGTATCACAATACATAAGTCATTTGTATTCACAATTGAATCATTACACATGCTTATTATAGGTACACAAAATTAAAATTTTTATGATGAACATTGCTTTGAATAATGTGTGAGTATTTGTGGCACATTTTA